CAAGACCCTGTCGCAAATCAACACAGCTTTTTGTTGCGGTAGCGGACAGGATGAAGGGCCTTCCAGTGTCAGCCCAGAGGATCTCCTCCTGGATCACAGACGGGATCTGTGCCTGCTACAAAAAAGGGGTCCCCGCCTCCGACCATTAGAAAGGCACATTCCACAAGAGCGCAGGCATCCTCAGCGGCCTTCCTGGCATGTATACCAATACAGGACAACTGCAGGGCCACAACTTGGTCGTCAGTGCATATGTTTGCACTGCACTACGCCATCACCCAGCAGGCCAGAGATTACGCCAGCTTCAGCAGAGCAGTGTTGCAAGCCGCACGTCTGTGAACTCAGAGCCCACCTCTAGGGATGCTGCTTGTGAGTCACCTAACATGGAATCAACATGAGCAAGCTCTCAAAGAAGAAAAAATGGTTATGTACCTCTCGTAACTGTTGTTCTTCGAGATGTGTTGCTAATGTTCATTCCAAGACCTGCCCTCCTACTTCGCCATCAGAGTTGGTGGCAAGAAGAAACTGAGAGGGTGCAGGGGTGGAGGCACCCCTTATACCACTGCATGAGCGCGGGCCTCCAGGGGTTGCGAGAGCCAGCCCTATGGATACCACTAGGGAAAAAATCTCCAGCAGCGGTGCACGTAATGCACGCATACCCAGCATGGAACTGACATGAGCAACACATCTAGAAGAACAACAGTTACGGAAGGTAGGTAACTGTTTTTTACACACAAAACTGTGTTACAGACACAGATAGGAAGTGCCTGTGTAACCTATTGCCTGGGCACTGCCACTGTCACCGGACATTGCTGGTGCTGGATATGCCTACTCTTTGCTTCCGAGAGAGTTGCATCACACTCTACACACATACACATCTCTGACAAGATGTCCTTTTGGGTGGGTGGAGGGAGGGGGAGAAATTCATCAGATCCAGTTTTGCTGATGAGTTCAAACTTGCACATGTGAGTAAGGGTGGGTAGATATCTCAAACTAACAACAACAGACTCTCACTGAGGCCTCGATCCCAAGCTTCACTTCATATGAGTCACCTCATTGCCTTCAAATCCTGTGGTGGTGTTGCACTGGGGATGGGGGAACATACAGCAGCTCCCCAAACTTGTTCTCTCTGTCTCACACACACAAGCAGATCACTAGCTTTCAGCCAGTTCAATAAAGCAGACAGCTGCATGTTCAGTAAGTACAGGACAGTATTGCCAACCTGATCCATTTCAAAATAGTGAGTTGGGTACCAAAAAATCATGAGGTTGCTTAAAAATCATCAAAAAAAAAACCAAACCGGAGTAATTGTGGCATCTTAGAGACTAACAAATTTATTTGGGCATAAGCTTTTGTGGGCTAAACCCATTTCATCAGATGCATGGAGTGGAAAATACAGTAGGAAGATACATATACGTAGTACATGAAAAGATGGGGGTTGCTGATACAGACTAACACGGCTACCGCTCTGAAACCTGTTAAAAATCATATTTAAAAGAAACCATCAGTGTTGGGCTCTTTTTCTTGGTGTGCAGATTTCTGAGTCTTTAAGGATCGCTCGGGTCATGTTTTCAAACATTCCTCCACCACCTGGTGGGCTAGAAACTTATTTTTTAAATGAAAGTGGACACTCTCCCCTAATGACAGGCCTCCAGAACCTAAGGCCTTAAGAAACACAATTACCAGAATTGGCAACATAGGAGTCTCTGGAGGCACAGCGGAGATGGGAATTGCAGACAAGCATAGGGATGGATGAGGGCAACAGGGTATTGGGGTTTATAGGCACCTATGGGTAGTGTAGCAGGTATGGGGTTCTAGGGTGGCATAAGTGTAGGTGGGTGCTACCTGAAATTGGGCCAGCTAGTAAGCTCAGGGAGGACTAATGACCCACCAGAGTTTGGCAGAAAGCAGCACGCTTATTATACTGATAGCTAAGCTCAAAAGAAATTGGGGGGTCACACTCACACTCACATACTCACGCTCCCAGGACAGGCACGACACTGGAGATGTCAGGATCCGTCAAGGTAAGTCTCCCACAGCGCAGCAATGGATGGTGCGATGAAGGCAAGTCTTCCCGGGGCACGATGGAATGCAACGTGGCAAACCACTGGCCAGGTGATCCGGGCAAAGGGCCTTTACGGGAGGTACAATTTTGTGAGTGCACTCCTGAGCACATGGCCCCTTCCCCTTTTAAGGACCTGCTCCTTCTTGACCTGCTCACCGGCTCAGATCCGTGACCGCAGGCGGACACACCAGATCTACTATGCTTCAGCTTCTCAGCTTCCTATGCTGTCTCCGGTAACTCTCCACCTGTGTGAGTGTGTGGGTGCATGAGGGTATGAATGCGGTGAAAGTGTGCATGCATAAATAAGTGCCAATCTTTTCCGTTTGATCCAATAGCGGCATTTAATAAAACCAATATAAGTGGGGAAACTGAGGTAACAGTGGGGTTATAGGATAGTGTGAGGTATAGGGATCTGAGGGGATGCACCTATAAGGTGGTATAGGATGGATATTGGGGTGCACAGCAAGTACAGTAACTCCCCACTTAACGTCCTCTTGCTTAACGTTTCGATCTTACATCCCTGATCCATTACAGAACATGCTCATTTAAAGTTGTGCAATGCTGTGGTATAACGTTTGGCCGTCTGCTTTGTCCATGGTTGGCAGCCCCCCTATCAGATCCCCTATGCCCCCCTTCCCAAGCGCCTCCCACCCGCCGGTGGACCCCACAGATCAGCACCTTTCCCCCTGCTCCCCCTGCCTCCTGCCTGCGGCAATCAGCTGGTTTGCCGCGGGGGGAGCAGGGGGAAGGCGCTGATCTGCGGGGTCCGCCGGCGGGTGGGAGGCGCAGGGCGTGGGCTTAGGGGAGCTGATAGGGGGGTCTGCCAGCCTGTTTAATACCTGTATTAAATAGCTTGTTTAAAATGTATATAATGCCTTTTGTCTGGCAAAAAAAAATTTCCCTGGAACCGAACCCCCCCCATTTACATTAATTCTTATGGGGAAACTGGATTCACTTAACATCATTTCGCTTAAAGTTGCATTTTTCAGGAACATAACTACAGCGTTAAATGAGGAGTTACTGTATGGAGCTTATGGGAAGTCGAGGGAATACAGAGGTTATAGGGGTTATAAAGGCAGGCAGGAGCTATGGAGTATTGGAGTGTATGGGGGCTAATGGGCATTTTAGAGGATATGGAGGCAGTTGGAGCTGTATTGAGGGATATAGGTGTGTAAGTGGAGGGCAGAATATGGAGGTATATAGGGGCTGGTGGAATTTATAGTGGGTTATGGAGTTATTAGGAGTATAGGATCTGGTGGTGAGGGTGTCAGTAGAGTTAGGCAAGGGTCCATAAAGTGTACAGGTCTGGTGGTGAGCCTATAGGACCCAGTTGGGGGCGTATAGGCTCTGGCGAGGGATCTATAACGTGAATGGAGCCTGGTAAGGGATCAATATGGTCTGGTGTTGGGGGGTGTATAAGGTGTTTAGGGTCTGGTGGTGGGTGTCCAGGGTCCATAAGGTCTGCTGGGGGTATAGAGCAGAGGTGGGCAAACTACAGCTTGCAGGCCAGATCCGGCCCAAGGGACCCTGCTGCCTGACCCCTGAGCTCCTGGCCCGGGAGGCTAGTCCCCGGCCTCTCCCCCGCTGTCCCCCCCGCAGCCTCAAGTGCTACGTCACTGCCGCCGCAACGCTCTGGGCGGCCGGGCAGCGCAGGTGCAGAGCCACGGCCTGACCTGGTCCTCTGGGCTCCCCCATCAGCCGCCAGTGCTCCAGGCAGCGGGGTAAGGGGGCAAGGGGAGGGGGTTGGATAGAGGGCAGGCAGTTAGGGCAGGGAGCGGGGGGGGTTGGACAGAAGGCAGGGCAGTTGGGGCAGGGAGCGGGGCGGGGGGATTGAGGCAGGGAGCCGGGGGGGTTGGATAGAGGGCAGGGCAGTTGGGGCAGGGAGCGGGGGGGGGGTTGGATAAAGGGCAGGGCAATTGGGGCAGGGAGCAGGGGGGGTTGGATAGAGGGCAGGGCAGTTGGGGCAGGGAGCGGGGGGGGGTTGGATAGAGGGCAGGGCAGTTGGGGCAGGGAGCGGGGGGGTTGGATAAAGGGCAGGGCAGTTGGGGCAGGGAGCGGGGGGGGTTGGATAAAGGGCAGGGCAGTTGAGGCGGGGGGTTGGATAGAGGGCAGGGCAGCTGGTGCAGGGAGCGGGGGGGGGTTGGATAAAGGGCAGGGCAGTTGAGGCGGGGGGTTGGATAGAGGGCAGGGCAGTTGGGGCAGGGAGCGGGGGGGGTTGGATAAAGGGCAGGGCAGTTGAGGCGGGGGGGTTGGATAGAGGGCAGGGCAGTTGGGAGAGGGGGGGGGGGGGGTTGGATAGGGAGGGCAGGGCAGCGGGTGGTTGGATAGAGGGCAGGGCAGTGGGGAGGGAGCGGGGGGGGGTTGGATAGAGGGCAGGGCAGTTGGGAGGGGGGGGGCAGGGATGGGGCAGGGTGCGGGGGGGTTGGAGAAAGGGCAGGGCAGTTGAGGCGGGGGGGTTGGATAGAGGGCAGGGCAGTTGGGGGAGGGGGCGTGGATGGGGTCGGGGCGGTCAGAGGGCGGGGAACAAGGGGTTACATAGGGCAGGGGTCTCGGGGGGGGCAGTCAGGAAGGAGGGGTGGTTGGATGGGGCGCGGGGGGCCCTCAGGGGACGGGGGGGTCGGATGGGGCAGGAGTCCCAGGGGGGCCGTCAGGGAGCAAGAAGCGGAAGCGTCGGACAGGAGGCGAGGCCGGGGCCCTGCCCTCTATCCAACTCCTAGCCCCTTGCCCCCTAGCCAGCCCTCCATACAATTCTGGAAACCCGATCTGGCCCTCAGGCCAAACAGTCTGCGGCAGCCGGCAGCCCGCACGCTCGGACGAGGGCGCGGCGGGCCCAGCGGGAGGTATCGATAGGGTCTGAAAGGGGGCGGGGCCAGTGGGCGGAGTCCTGGGGGCGGGACCAGGGAGGCAGGGCTGGGCCTTTGGCGGGGGCGGAGTTCCGGCTCGTTCCCGGCGGGCGCTGAGGCGATGGCCGGGGTCCCGCTGCTGGAGGCGCTGGGCCGCCTGTGGCAGGTGCAGGCCCAGCTCGGCAGCGGCGCCTCCGCCTCCGTCTTCCGCGTGCGCTGCTGCGGGGACCCGCGCGCCCCGCTCGGCGCCGTCAAGGAGTTTGTGCCTCCGGCGCGGCCCGGGCCTGCCGCCCGCAGCGCCCCGGAGTACGGCTTCGGCAAGGAGCGCGCCGCGCTGGAGCAGCTGCGGGGCCACCGCAACATCGGTAACGGGATCCCCCCTCCCCCCGCAGCATCGGTAACCGGATCCTCCCCCTCCCACACACACACACATCCTCCGCAGCATCGGAAACGGGACCCCCCACCCTACCCCACCGCAGCATCGGAAACGGGATCCCTACCCCCCCACACACACACACCTCACCACAGCATCGGTAATGGGACCCCCCCCTCCTACCCCGTCCATCACAGCACTGGTAACAGGATCCCGCCACCGCAGCATCGGTAACGGGATCCTCCTGCAACATCGGTAACGGGACAGCCCCACATAGGTAATGGGACCCCCCCAAACTATCCCATCCATTGCAGCATCGGTAACGGGATCCCCCCCCTGCAACATTGGTAACGAGACCCCCCCCATCCTACCCCCTGCAACATCGGTAACAGAATCCCTACCCCACTACCTCCCACAGTATCGGTAACGGGATCCCCCATCCTACTCCCGCCACTGCAAGATCAGTAAGAGGACCCCCCCACCGCAGCATCGGTAACGGGATCCCCCCAACCTACCCCCTCCACTGCAACATCAGTAACGGGACCTTCCCACCCACCCCCTCAACATCAGTAACGGGTTTTCCTGAGACAAGCCCCACACTCCCCCAGCAACACCAGTAACCAGGTTCACCCTGAATTCTCTGGCCATGACCGCTGAGTAACTGGGATTGGAACAGGACCCCCATGCAGCACAGGTAACCAGGACCCTGGCATTCCTCTCCCAGGCCAGGACCTCCCCCCCCCCCCCCCCACATACACACATCAGTAATCAGGACCCCCAGCACTCCCTACAAGCCAGGCCTCCCTGATCATGACCCTTTCCACAATATCCGTAACCAGGATCCCCCACGCAACATGGATAACCAGGACCTCCTCAGACCGGGACCCCACTTATGGCAACCAGGACCAGCTGGGGCCTCCTGCATCCCTGGACTCTCCTGCAACATTTGTAACCAGGTCCCTCCCTGCATCCCACAACCTGGACCCCGCCCTTATACTCCCCCACCCCAGTAACTGGGACCGGATAGGACCACTTCTCCCAATCCCCACAACATCCAGGATTCCACCATTGACCTCCTGGCCAGCACTCCACCCCCCCATACTTCCATCCCCACAACTTCAGTTACTGGGCTCAGACCCATCCCCCAGCACCTCCAGCTGGGCCCCTATGCAGAATTGGTAATCAGAACCCCTGCTAGTCCCCTGGGCTAAAACCCTCTTGGGCCCACTACTTCCACCCCCACTAACCAGGACAGGGCTGGGACAGGACCCCCTTTTCCTCCCCCACAACATCAGTGATCAGGATTCAGGACCCCTGCATGCCAATCCCCCCAGAACACTGCTAACTGTGGTACCCCACCCTCCAGGACAGAACCCCCTGTCCCTACTGCAATATCAGTAACTGGGGTACCTGCTGCTTTGTGGACCCGAACCCCACAGGCCTACCACAGCATCAGTAACCGGGATCCCCCAACCCCACTCCACAACAGTAGTAACGGGGACCCTTTCAGCCCTGGCCCCCCTCTTTCTGCATCCCCATTGCATCAGTAACCGGGACCCTGGCCCCCCTCTCCCTGCCCCTCCACAGCATCAGTAATGGGGACCCTGGCCTATGCCAGCCCTGGTCCCCGTCTTCCTGCCCCCACTGCCCACAGCATGTAATGGGGACCCTGGCCCCTGCTAGCCCTGGCTCCCCTCTCTCTGCCCACCCCACGGCATCAGTGATGGGGACCTGGCCCCTGCCAGCCCTGCCCTTCCCCTGCACCACCACAGCACATCCTTCTCTCCACATGCTGCAACATCAGTAACTGGGCCAGTCCAACTGGGCTGGAACCCCCACCACCACAGTATCGGTGACAGGGCCAGTACCCCCACCAAGCCTGGCCCCCTCCCCATAACATCAGGGACTACGACCCTTCAACAGCATTGGTAACTAGGACCGCCTCCCTCACCAGCTCACAACCCCGTACTGCCAGGCCAGCGGCGCTCTATCTCCAGCTATAATGTCAGTAATTGGAACAGGACCCCTCTTACTGCATCATGAGGTAACTGGGACCCCCTACATGGACTGGGACCTCCCCAAGATAGAGACTGCCACTCCCCCACTGCAAAATGGGCAACCAAGAGTGCCCCCCCCCGTCCCCCTCCGGTCTTTGATCCTTCACTGCAGTATCAGGAGCCAGGACCCTACTGCTCTGGGACAGAGATCTCCCCCACTATAGCAACACAAGTAACCCGGACCCCCTCCATTCCCTGGGATCTCTCACCAAGCCGAGACATACCCCAACTGCAGCATCAAGAGCCAGGACCCCTCGACAGCAATGACAGGGACCCTGGCTCCCCCTCACCCCTGGCCTGGCCATGCTTCCCATCCCCCTCCACAGTGCTGGTAACTGGGACCTCCCGCAGACTGTGTTAGGGGCCCATAGCCCCTCTCTCCCAGCAACATCTATAACCGAAACTCTCCTGAGCCAGGATGGGGACTCCACCGTCCCTGCCCCAGCGACATCCTGTTGGGGCCCCCACTGCAACATTGGAAATGGGCTGGGACCCCTTCCTTGGGAACTGGATATATGCGCTCCCCATGGCAGCCTGAGGAACTGTGCCAGGGTCACCCCCTAGGGCTACCGACCAGCTCCCTGCAGCACTAGGCATGGGAACTCCCTCTGCACAACTCCCCCACTGCAGCAGTGGTAATCAGGTCAGACCAAGGACAGGCCACCCCACAACCTCCAGTTACCGGCCCCAGCTCTCCATGTGGGCGGGCTGTGCTTTGGGCCAGGGTGGGAGCTGGAGCTGGGGGGCACTTTGTACCCTCCTGTGTTCTACGGCTTTTCTTTCTGCAGCATCTGGCAGATTGATGTGGAGGAGGGTCTGCCCTGACACTAGGTGCCACCTATATGGCTGCTGCAGGCTGCTATGCCCTGCCTCCCTGTGCTGGGTGGGGGAAGGGAAGAGTGCTGAAGTGTGCATCCAACCATTTTGTAGAACCAGTAGGAGTTTTGAATAATCTGCTGGCTCCTTGCTTGGAGTCCAAAGTGCAACTGTAGCAAGAAAAGGGTTAGCAGGCTGGCTCTGTATGCTCCCAAACCAGCCTGTTCCCTCTTCCCCTCCCAGCCATGACAGGGCAGGTGTCCTGTGTGGGGAGAGGCAGGCATCAGAGGACTGTCTGTACTGGGGGTTTTCCAGGTCCAGCTGAGCTGCCCTCAGACCAGGCGGGAGCTGTGCTGCAAAGCAGGTTTGAATTAAAAGGATGGTAATCCAAGTCTGCATGACAGCTCTAGGGATCCACCACCAAGCCACTTGCCCAGGGCGGGAGGTGCTCAAACACTGTGGGTCATGGAGGGGAGCCTGATCCTTGTGAGTAGAATGAAAAGCTGTTGGTCTGTGGGGCCCTGAGCCCATCCCTGCGTCTCCTGCACATTCAGCCACGTGCTTGGAACCCACAGGGTCGTGCTCCAGTGTGGGAATGACAAGGTTGGGGCGGCGTGGAACCGTGTGTGGGAAGAGGGCCTCTCCCTCTCTTCCCCCACACCCCCATGCAGAGTCGCACCTCATCCCAGCAGCACCTCCCGCAGTTGCACATGTGGGCAGTACAACTGGGAGAATATGGAATGTCTTAGCTAGGTGCCTCACTGGAATATGTCTGCCTCAGGGTCTGCTTCTGCTCTTTGGCCCCCCCCTCCCCTTTCCTGCTCTTGTTGTGTTCCCCTGCTGCTTGGAGGCCTTCTCTCCTGGGCATGCTGCCCAGCCACCCAAGCCTCTCCCCCTCAGACAGGCTGGGGGACTGCCCCAGCCCCTTCTTTACTGGCCATTCCTCTGCCCACTAGGCATGGTGCCCCCCCCGCTTCCCCAGGCTTGCAGGCTCCTCTGCAATGAGGCTGCGTTTGAGTAACCATGCTCCTGGTAGGTTACACCTTCAATCGGTCATTGAGTCTCTTGACTTAACTGTTTACTGTAGCTCCTGGAGGCCCAGCTCCCATCAGGGCTGGTGCTACACAGACACATAGTGAGAAACCTTTCCTAGAAAGCTTACAGTGGGAATGGACATGATGGGGGGAGAAGTGCAGAATTGGCCCTTTTCTACAGATGGGAAACTGAGACTCTGGCTAGACTAAGTGCCTTGCCCAAGGTCACGCAATCTGGCTTAGTCCAGTGCCTTAACCATAAGGTGACTCTTCCCTCCCCAGTAACCCATTCCAGACAGCTGCAGAGAGCCCTCTCACAGACAGCGCCATTCTAACTGTGTTGGGATTTGGAACTTACAATGGGACGCGCTCTGACGCACGTTCTATGCTTTTAGCCTCTGTACGCTCCCTCACTGATCTAAAGGGAAGCGGAACGGGTATGATGCACAACTCGGAGTCACTTTGAATTCACCAGCTTTGCCCTTGTCTGATTCCAGTGACGCTGTATGGAGTGTTCACCAACCACTTCTCTGCGAATGGCCCTTCTCGCTGCCTCCTGCTGGAGCTGCTGGACATCAGCGTGTCAGAGCTGCTTCTCTACTCCAGCCATCAGGGCTGCTCCATGTGGATGATCCAGCACTGTGCCCGTGATGTGCTAGAGGCCCTGTCTTTCCTTCACCACAAAGGCTATGTTCATGCAGACCTCAAGCCACGCAACATCCTTTGGAGCGCAGAGGAGGAGTGCTTTAAACTCATTGACTTTGGGCTTAGCTTCAAAGAGGGGAATCAGGTTTGGAACGCTGTTTATAGGAGCACTTAATTCTGTTTCACGTCACTGTGCTGTGCTCCTGCCAACTCTCTGCAGCTATGTGGATTTGCTTGGCTGGGAATATTGAGGGGACGGTGACTCTTTAGGGGTTACCCGTCTCTGTGGATCATTACTGGGCCAATGGTCCAGTTCGGTAGGAATGTAGGGATTGCAGACCCAGTCGGACCAGTGGTCCATATTGTGACCGATAACCAGATGCTTCAGAGGAAGGTGCAGCTAGGAAGTAGTCGGTCCCTAGGGTCAGTTCCTTCCTAAGCCCAGATAGCTAGTGCCTGGCCTATGCCCTGGAACATGAGCTTGTATCTCGTCTAACAGAATGCAGATGTTCCCATTATCCATGTAAATATCTAATCCTTCTCTTGATCTTAGTCTTTCGATACCTCGTGGCTGTATATTCCTCAGGGTGATTAAACATTGGGGTTAAATGCCCTTTTTAAGTGTGTTGCTTTTCAGTTTCACTGACAGTCCCTTGTTCTTGTATTGTGCAAGAGGGTAAATGAGCGCACAAATATACAGGCTCTCCTCTAGCATTCATTATAGGCACTGACTCTGTGGGTGCTCCAGGGCTGGAGCACCCCCGGGGAAAAATTGGTGCGTGCGCTGCACTCCCCGGCAGCTCCCCACCCCAGCTCGCCTCCGCTCTGCCTCCTCCCCTGAGCGCGCCGCTGCGTCCTGCTTCTCCCCCTCTCTCCCAGCGCTTGCACTGTGAAACAGCTGTTTCGCGTGGCAAGAGCTGGGAAGGAGGCGGGAGGAGGAGGAATGTGGTGCGCTGGGGGAAGAGGCGGGGCTGGAGTGTGGATTTGGGGAGGGGCCTAATAAAGGCAGGGAGGGGGTGGAGTCGGGGCAGGGCTAGGGGCGGGGGGGTGCAAGCACCCACTGGCACCAATGAAAGTTTGTGCCTGTGACGACCATTACCTATGTCCCTTCTTATTCACCTCTTCCTTAACAACCTTCATCTTTTCAGTCTCTCCTATGAAAATCTCACTGTCACTCAGTTTTCACCCATCTTTTGACCTCTTTTTCTGCTATGTTCCTTCCAAGATAGGGTGATGCTATTAATGAATCCTTGTGTTCTGTTTGATCTTTTGACTGCCGCTTCACATAGAGCAGATTTTCATTGAGCTCTCTGCAAGGATGCCCTGGTTCCTTTTCCATATGACTAGCGTTAATATGGAGCCCGCCCACCCCTGCCCCCAGTATATGGGCAGTTCAGATTATTTATCCTGATGTGCACTACCATGCATTTATCAACACTGACTCATCTGCAACCATGCAGCCTCCATTCAGCCAGCTCTGTTAGACCCTGTTTGGTGCTTCAGGCTTTACATGTCTCAGCTAACTTAAACCATGCTGTCATCTGTAAATCTTGTTCTCTTCCTGGGCAGCCCCTTTTCTGGACCATTCATGTGTTAAACAGCACTAGTCCTCCTAAGAAGCTGTAGAACACCTCACTGTTAACATATGACACTAATTTACCTTTCATCCAGGACTACTTAGTTTCCTTAATAGCCTCCTCTGAGGGGTCTATCAGAGGGGTTTTGAAGTCCAGATCGCCTGTCAGCTGGTTCTCATTCATCCACGGTGTGGCTGACACCCACTAAGAATTGAAGTAGACAAGACGGGCATGATTTTCTTTTTCAGAAGTGGTGCTGGTTTGTCCCTGTTGTATCCTGTTCATCTAGATGTTCTATGATTCAGCTATTTCAACCACTTGGCCTGATACTGAAAGCAAGGCTCACTGGTCTGTGATTGCCAAGGTCATCCATTTGATTTGCTACCTTTGAGCTCTCTGGTACAGTAGCTGATTTTAATGAGCATATTTTAGTTAGCAGCATGGCCAATCTGCTCTGAAGTGCTTTCGGGACCTGTGGCTGTGTCCCATGCTGTGCTAGTGACTTGTTACTCTGCCTAGCAGAATGTGTTGAGGTTTTCCTGTCCTTGTCTGTTTGCTGTGCTAATTCCCTCTTAACCATCTTAATTCGCTTCTTGTATTTGGGCCTTTCTGTTAAGCTGGATTTCCTGGTTTTGGGAGCCATCCAGGCTGACCTGAATAACCTTAAGTCTTGCCATGGAAACAGACTGAAGCTGGCTTGTCCTCTTTCCACCGTTGTTTATGTGCGTAAATGCCTTCTGTGACCACTAGGGCTGCTTGTCTGTGATTTTTAATTTCCTCACTTCTGACTCTTGGGCCTTTTTGACAAGATTCTCCTCTTTTAAATAAAAATATCTCTTTCTATCACTTAAAGCTAGGGGGTGCTAGGCTTTTGGAGAGGTTCTCTGGTAAAATGAGGTCTTGATCACTTGTGGTTACCAGCAATCTTGGCTCTTCCCGATGGCAGGGGTGGCTAAATTCCAGATTTGGGGATAATATTTGTCCTATGTCCTCTTGGTTTTAGCTAGCCACTGTTCTCTTTCTGCCCTAAGATGCTGTTTAGTTGGGTGGTTAAACCTCGGCTGTGTTTTGCTTCAAACCTGTCTGCACTTAGTGGTGGGTGAAGAGATCCTTTTATACAGCTCATATGTCAGTTTGAAGTTTACAAGGCACTTTGTGAGAATAAATCTGCAAGAGATGTACAGTCAACTAGTTGAATTGAAATGAATTCTCTTTGAATGGGTTCCTGGTAAGGTTGGCTGGCTCCACGCTTTGCCTGGAGAATTTAGTTTCAAACTCCTCTCTTCTGCTGTAATGCCCTGGCTTGACTCTAAAATGATGCTCCTGAGCAGCCCTATAAAAGCAAGGAGGCATTTAGTTTATTTCCTCTGCTGCTACCTCTCTTTTCTTTGAACAGGTAGCCTATAGGCATTTTACTTTCTCTTCAGTAGCAAAAAGTGGAGCTTTCGCTGCTGAGCGGGAATTGATTGCTACAGATTTTTCTGACTGCGGGGAAGAGGAGAGGTGGGGGGAAAGTATATTTAAGTTCCCTGCCTGCATATTACAGATGTCTGTTTAATATTTTAAAGCTAAATACTAGTATTTGAACAGAAGTCTTTATCAATCCTCTCTGCTCTATGACTTAAGCTGATCGTGAGCTAGGCCCAGAAGTCCTCCCTGTGCTTTTCTATTAGCTTTTGGAGGAGCATTATGCGGACTTGACACCTTACTCTGAAGCATCTAGAATTCTCCCTGGCAAGAGACTTGATACCTGTTCAGATGGATCATTGAGCTGGTCTAGGATGACACAGTTTGCATTGATATTGGTGCTCTGCCTTTCACTTTCATCTCCAATAGAAATCATTCATGTGAAAATGAGCCACTAGTTTTCTTACTGAGAGGTGGTTCTCTTTTCAAGTGTCTCACCAAACTGCTGGCTGGGCTACCAAAACAGACTGAACTTTCTAAACTTGGCTGGCTGTTTAACACCTGGAGATTTAGCAAGTTTTTGTTAAGCTGCCTTTCTGGAAAGGAATCTGGAAGCTGGTATAAAGGGGCAGGGGCGAGTGATTGGGGAATTGGCTGAATCCTGGTTCTAGTAGCATATGTTTGATTTTCCTTAGGATGTGAAATACATTCAGACAGACGGGTATCGGGCTCCAGAGGCAGAGCTGCAGAACTGCCTGGCTCAGGCGGGGCTCCAGAGTGAAACAGAATGTACCTCTGCTGTAGATCTGTGGAGTCTAGGAATTGTTTTACTGGAAATGTTCTCAGGAATGAAACTGAAACATACTGTCCAATCTCAGGAATGGAAGGTGAGAAAAAACTGCTCTTTGGATCCCCAAATCCAGGGGTCATTGTTCATGCTGCAGGAGCTTGTGCTCCCTTGTTTTATCCTGCTTATATGATGCTATTCCCAATGCCCAGAAAATGCACTGGAACCATCCCTTTAGTTCTTTCTTCAGCCTTCTTGGGAGTTGCTGTTCTGGAGCACTAAAATTGCACCTGTCCACAGGATGGGGATGTCTTTTTGGGACCTGAATTCGCACTGTGGGACGGGTGAAATGCTGAGGCTCCAGGACTGTGTTGGAAGCCTAGGGTCTTGTCTAAACTGCAGAATTTTGTTGCCAAAAGGCAGCTTTTGGCAACTAAACAGCAAAGGTGTACACACTGCAATGCCACTTTTGGCAACAAAACTCTTCAGTTTTGGTGACAAAACCAAACCACTTGGACGAAAGGCAGAGAGCTTTTTGTGGCAAACTTAAAGCAACAAAGCGTCAGTGTAGATGCTGCTGTTTATTATATCACCCGAACTAGCTTCCCCCAGTATCCCACAATGCCCGCTGTGACTGCTCTGTTCACTATTTTGAACTCAACTGCTGTACAGGCATGCACCCCTCCCTTTTCAAAACTACAGGAAGTTCTGACAGCTGAGCATGCCTGCAACAAAGAGAAAATTATTAACATAGAATGCTGCTGTTTCCCACACTACACACAGAGGCAGGGGCGTGTGTGTGTGTGTGCGTGCATGTGAGAGAAGGAGACTGCTGTGAAGAGCCAGGGAGGGAGACGAGGGCTGAGGTTGGGGATGTCCCCCTGCATCAGGACTGGTTGCTTCCGGCAGCTGTCTGAACTTGCACACCCTGTCACACGCTGCCCCCCCACCCACAGACACATTTCAGTTGAAAAGCGGCTGCCAATCTAGTAGGATGCCCAAGGAACCTGCATCATATGATGCTGTACCTGCCCCAGGAGGCATTGCAAACCCTTCCCAAAGCACCCTGCAGCCAGTTGCACAGAGGGATAGCTACCCACAGTGCACTGCTCTGTGTCAATGCAAGAGCTGCTAGTGTGGATGCGCTCCACTGACACAAGGAGCATAGTATGGATATGCAACAGCAGCTTAATTAGAGTGGCATCACTTTTGTCGACAAAACTCTGTAGTGTATACTTAGCCTACGTCTTAGCTCTGTTTGTAAGACTGCCAGCTTTGGTGTAACACCAGAATGGAAAATGAAATAGATCAGTTAAGTTTCTGCCAACTAGTTCAGTGGCATGGTGACAAAGCAGTAACTTTCTCTGGCTTTTAGTGCGACTCTCACAATGTAGGGCTGTTTATTAACTCTAGAAGTGTGCTGAGGATGGGAGAGGGCTGCAAGGCATGTCTGACTGACTCCACATTTCTGCTCTGAAATGGTCACTTTTATTTCCAGCTCCTCTCTTGGCAGTAGGCATCAGTCAGAAAGACTCCCAGTAAAGAACTGAAAAATGTGTCACAGATGGTGAAATAAGCCCTTCCCTGTGAAATCTGATCTCCCCATGCCACTGGAAGCGTCCCAGCTGGAGGCTCCTAACTGCTAGTCCAGGCTGGCCTGGGAAGGGACAGGACTTGGTCCTTCCCCTGCACAGCTTCTCTCAGTGGGGAGATCAGACCTACCTCCAAAGGCAGCACAGAAGTGTGTGTGGTACACCCTCACTTCTGTGCTGCAGCAGCCGTGTAGCTGGACTCGGGGCTTCCACCCCCCGTGGCTCAGCGTGCTGGTGCTTGCCCCCCTCCCTTTGGCTCATGGTGCCCAAATTGGCCAGGACCCATGCTTTAATCCGCGACTGGCCAGTGCTAGCCTCTAGTAGCCCCTGGCTGGGGTGCTCCCACTAGCACAGGGAGATCAGACTTGCCTCCACTTTTGGGAGCCTCCTCCTGCTGCAGGAACCCCTGGGGCTGCTGCCTTCAAAGCCCAGCTCTGCAGGTAGCACAGAAGTGAGGGTGGCAATCCTATGACCTTCCTACAACAGCTTTGCGACAACCCCCCCCCCACCCCCCCAATCCCCTTTTAGGTCGGGACCCCCATGGTTACAACAACAAGAAATTTCAGATATAAACTTCTGAAATTGTGAAATTGACCAATTTTAAAACCCTCTAGCCATGAAATTGACCAAAATGGACCATGAATTTGGTAGGCCTCTACCCATAGGAAATGCCTCCTCAGTCTCCAGTGTTTTGGTGAATGTTCACCCCAGGATTTTATTTTTCTTCTAACCCTGGCTGCCTTTGCTTTCCAGACAAACAGTTCTGCCATCATTGATCACATTTTTGCCAGTGAAGGTGTGGTAAATTCAGCCATCCCAGCCTATCACCTCAGAGACCTTATCAAGAGGTATATTGCAAATAGCAAATGTGTTACATGTTACTCTGAGGCACATGTATGCTGATCCAAGCAGTACTGTTCTACTTGTAAGGGTTTGTCTTGCATTCAGATACCGAGGAGCCTTGCAGTGCTCGCCTAGGCTACCTGCTCTCCTGAAACTTTCCCCCTGTTGTGTTGGCAGTGCAGCTCCAGGAGTGCCTGACTCCTGGTATTCTAACTACTGTGTGAGCAGGGCTGCACAAGTGAGTGCAGAGAATATTGGTGGCCTGCCTATGCTAGCACTCCCATTGTTGCCATCCAGGAAGTGGGATGATGGGGAACTGGTATAAAAATATCGATGGTGATGAGGCTTTGGCAGCATCTCTTTAAGCCAGTAGATGAAACATGTTTGGAAAAATGCCTTCCCCCTGTGATGTCAGTAAGGTCCAGATAGGAGCATCTGCATATCCTAAGTCAGTAGAGGAGAGGGCTCAGCGCTGCTGCTGCTCAGATATTTCCCAAGTAACAGCAGAGTAAATGAATAACTCTAGCAGCAAAGAAACTGACTTGACCACCTGGTGGGCTGCAACAGAGCTCCAGTCATGTCACTTAGCTGCTGCTCAGAGCTTCCCCCACTAGCAGCAGGGGAGTCAGAACTCCCGTGGGGAAGAGGACATAAATATGGAGGCTGGGAGAGGGGATGGAAGTTTGTCCCTGAGCATCCAGTGTTGTGAGCCCCAATGATCGCAGCTTTCCCAGAAGGTTCTAGGTCACCGTGGTACAGTCGCCTGCCATCCCATAAATGGGAATATGCAGAGGCTTTTCAGAGACCAGCCATCTCACTGTGAAAGGGTAGACTCTGGAGCAGCCATAGGGCAGCATCTGTAGGAGAATATTCGATCATGGACCTGTAGCTAGAAATGGTTATAACAGATTATATAAATGAAACCACTCATCAGCGTGGGCCTGTGCTAAAATCTAAGTGTCACTTTCCAAACTCAATTTTGGTAGAGGAGTCTGGAAAAGTTACTCACCAAACATTCCTGTAAGAAGCCCTTTAAGGGGCTTGTAACACCTAAATTCTCACCTTATGGACAAAAGAAAATGCACAGAAATCCCACGTGTGTGAGTGTTGTAAGGGGGAAGACATGCTGTGGGGTTTGTATATGTAAGGTTCCAGCCTCACTTGAAATGCAGATCTCATCACTGCCTTTACTGTGGGGCTGCTGTGTGCAAAAACTTAACGTCTCCCTTTGTCTTCTAGCATGCTTCACGGCGACCAAGCAAAAAGAGCCACTGCTGCAAAGGCTCTGTGCAGCCCCTTCTTCAGCATTCCCTTTGGTAAGTTGTGTAGTTCCATCCACCTCAGGCTTCTAACATCCAGGGCAAGGAGCCCGTGTGTCCAGCTGGAATTGTTTTGCCCCTCAGGTTTTCTTCACTTATTCTCCCTGGGTTGGTCTTTTGTGCCTGATGGCAGCCACCAGTCCTCTGCAACACAGCAGCTTCAAGCTTTGCCCATGCTTCACCCCATGCACAGGGCCCGACCATGGCCTGTCTCCCCAGCTGGAGGCCACAGAGCATTGGTCTCCCTCCAGAAGGGCAGGCAGGCGCTTCTCACTGATTCTGCTTAACTTAGACAAAACCAGCATTTACTGACCATCTTGGGGAACAAAGAAGAAGGGTAACCAGTAATACGTGCCTGTTATGGGTACTACGAAAAGCCCTTTCGGGTAGTCTTGAGCTCTAGATGCCAAGATAAACAGATAGGTTACCTTGTTCCCCACTTAGGCCTGGTCTACACTAGTAAATTAGGTCGGTATAACTACATCGCTCAGGTGTGAAAAATCCACGGCCCCTGAGCAATGCAGTTAAACCAAACTAACCCCGGGCACAGCCGTTAATGGGAGAATTCTCCCACTGTCTTGGAGAGGTGGATTACCTACATCAGTGGGAGAAGCCCTCCCATCAGGGCGTAGGTAATGTCTTTACTGCACTACAGTGGTGCAGTTACAGCGTTTTGAGTGTAGACAAGGCCTGAGTATGAATCTCGGGGCTTTTGAAGCACCGTGGTGGTGGTGAGTAACTGTCTGAGTGTGTGAGCAGTGGGGGGCTGACTGACTTTGGGCAGGGGGAGGGGGGGCTTCTGACAGTGGTTTCTGTTAGTGCCTCATCAAATTAAACTTGTTAGCAGCTGAGCAATGTCAATACACTGCTAACTGAAGGCAGCAGTGTGGTCCAGTGGATCAGGCACTAGTGGGAGTCAAGTCCTCCTTCTGGGGACTGCATAGCAAATCACACTGCATGCTGGTGTTGGGGTCACTTTGTTGCTCAGTCAGCACTGCCCCCTCGGATCCAACAGTGTGATTTCCTCTTCAGTTGAAATGGAGAGGCCATCTGCGCCATATTGCACTCCTGGGTCACAAGCTTCTAGCTGGAGAGAAGTCGGGAACACTCCTGCCTCTTTGGAGTCTTGACCCTCCCCATGTTATGTCCAATTACCCTGCCTCAGCCCCTAGTCCTCCCCCAGTATGTCTGTCAGTGTCTGTGTCCCCCCCGGTCCCCTCCGGAGCTGCACACGTCTTTGCATTCTGTTGCTTTAACTCTTTAGGCAGCACAGCTGTACCCCTTATTCAATAGTGCCTGTGTAAATTATTAGCAGGTGTGGAGCCTCTCACCGCTGGGCTGGCAAGTGGCTTCTGCTGAGTCTCTGCAGTTTTTCCTGAGCTGCATGAAGTGTGGGGTGGAGAGGCTCACAGAAGAGGAAACTTCTCAAAGCTCTGAGCAGCCTTGGAACATAAGAACTGTCATATTGGGTCAGACCAAAGGTCCATCTAGCCCAGTATCCTGTCTTCTGACAGTGGCCAGTTCCAGGTGCCCCAGAGCGAATGAACAGAGCAGGTAATCATTGAGTGATCCAGTCACTGTCACCCATTCCCAGCTTCTGGCAAACAGAGCTAGGGACACCATCCCTGACCATCCTGGCTAAAAGCCATTGACAGACCTATCCTCCATGAATTTATCTAGTTCTTTTTGAACCCTGTTATAGTCTTGGCCTTCACAACATCCTCTGGCAAAGAGTTCCACAGGTTGACTGTGCATTGTGTGAAAAAATACTTCCTTTTGTTTGTTTTAAACCTGCTGCCTATTTCATTTGGTGACCCTAGTTCTTGTGTTATGAGAGAGTAAATAACATTTCCTTATTTAATTTCTCCACCTCAGTCATGATTTTATAGATCTCTATCATATCCCCCCTTAATCATCTCTTTTCCAAGCAGAAAAGTCCCAGTCTTATGAATCTCTTCTCATACATTCCATACCCCTAATCCATACCCCTTTTTTGAACCTTTTCCAATTCCAATATATCTTCTTTTGAGATGCGGCGACCACATCTGCATGCAGTATTCAAGATGTGGGCGTACCATGGATTTATAGAGAGGCAATATGATATTTTCTGCCTTATTATCTATATCTTAATGATTCCCAATATTCTGTTCACATTTTTGACTGCCGCTGCATTGAGTGGATATTTTCAGAGAACTATCCACAATGACTCCAAGATCTCTTTCTTGAGTGGTAACAGTTAATTTAGACTCCATCGTTTTATATGTATAGTTGAGATTGTTTTCCAGTGTGCATTACTTTGCATTTATCAACATTGAATTTCATCTGCCATTTTGTTGCCCAGTCACCCAGTTTTGAGAAATCCTTTTGTAGCAATTCACAGTTTTGCTAGTTTTGTATCATCTGCAAATTTTGCCACCTCACTGTTTACCCCTTTTTCCAGATCATTTATGAATATGTTGAATAGGACGGTCCCAGTACAGACTCCTGGGGGACCCCCCTATTTACCTCTCTCCTTTCTGAAAACTGACCATTTATTCCTAACTTTTAACCAGCTACCAATCCATTAGAGGACTTTCCCTGTTATCCCATGACAGCTTACCTTGCTTAAAGGCCTTTGGTGAGGGATCTTGTCAAAGGCTTTCTGAAAATCTAAGTACACTCTATACACTGAATCCCCCTTGTCCACATGTTTGACCCCCCTCAAAGAATTCTCGTAGACCTTGGTAGAACACGTTGGTTTATGAGGGCTCAGGCCAGTAGCTTCATTCGAGCCGGCAGCCTTGACCTGAGGACAGCTGCTCTAGCTGGGCAGTCTCAGTGCCTGGCTGGTTGGGGAGTAAGTTAACAACTTTCCTGTTTCGTGAGGGATTTGGGTTCTATTTGAAGTCTTATCTCCCCAGCTAGCTGGGAATGCTCTGCCTGTCAGACTCCTTGAGCCAGGGCCCCTTTCACTTGTAAAGAGTACAACTTCTGCATCTCAGGGTCATTTTTGGCCCTTTCCCGCTGAAAGATAGCGGCAAGCTCTCGATGGCTCTTCTGTCCACCTGCCTCCAAGGGCATTACAGTCAGACTGCGCAACAGTTCTTGAGCCTGGAAGAATGAAGGCATGTGGTGACTCGGGGCTTTGGGAAGGCAAGGAGCTTTGATCATTGACACTAGGGCGTTGTGGTTAAAGCACTGGACTGCGACCCAGAAGATCCAGGTTCGGTTCGTGGCTGGCCGAAGGTTTCCTCCGTGACCCTGGGAAAGTCTTGTCATTTTTGTGGCCAGTTCTCCAGATGTAAATTGGGCTCATACTTCAGAAGGATAAAGCTATGACTGTTTGCAACACTACAGCACTAGGGCTGTGTAAGTCCTAGTGTGGACTCATAGCGTTTTAAGGCAATTAGGACGCCCTGGGCTGCCCACCTGATAACACAGGCCATACAGTTGTGCTAGAGCAGGTATTTTAGAAGGCTGTCACTTAGTCATGCTCTAAAGACTCCAAGTGCAGAAGACCCCAGTGTGAGGTGTTCCAATGGCTCAGCACCCGAGGTATTTCAAAACCCTTGTTATATTTTCAGTTTGAAATTTGCTGATTTCCATTTCCAGCTGGAGAATCTTGTTCTGCTTTTGTCTGCTAAATTAAAGAACCTGCTGCTCTCAGGAGTCTTCTCCGTACGCAGGGTAGATCTACGCTGCACTGAAAAACCTGCAGCACAGAAGTCTCAGAGCCCAGGTCAACTGACTCGGGCTGCGGGCACACTAGGGCAATCCAACCATGCGGAATGTGGGCAGCCCTGGCTGAGTCTGGATCAGTCACTTCTGACAGTACACTTAATTCTCCTGTTTTGTCTGCGTACACCAGAGACTGTCCCAACGTTTGAGTGAGCTGGAACCTGGTCAGAGCTGGCTTAGCGGTGACCGGGCTAAGACTGAGAGTATCCTGGCAGGGAGAGAGAAGGCGTGCCAGGGGCTGGACAGATAGTGGACTTGCCCAAGCACTAAGCCAGCACTGGAGAGTTCTCATGATGGACATGATGGGCTCTCTGCCCCCTAACCCCCAGGGGCTGCAGGGATGTGGTGTGGCCGCTTCCCGGAGCAGTACGGTGCCATGGAGGTGGCAGTCCCACGGGCCCGATCCAAAGCCCCAAGGGGCCGGATCTAGCCCACGGGCCAAAGTTTGCCCACCCCTGCCATAGGGACTTGCAGACCATGATCCAGTCATCTGCTAACCTTTTCTTCAGTAAACTAGACAACTGTTAAATTGGCTTTCCAGACCGCAGATTATCCTTGTAGCTCTGTTCTGAACTGCTCCATTTTGTAGCATCCTTGTTGAGGTGTGGACACCAGAACTGGATGCAGTATTCCAGTAATCATCTCACCCATGGCTTGGTGCCGTTGAACATGCGGTGGTCCAGGGCTTTTGAATTGTGTCCATGTAGGAAAGACACTGGCACACCAGCTGAGGCCTTCTGGCAGGTTGGCATGTTGGTGCCAAGCAGCAGAGGCGCTTCATCACAGCAGTGTTACTGGTCTCTAAAGTGGTGAGCCTCTGGAGAAATGCCCAGGGGCTGAGGTCTGAGCTGTCTTCTGAGACATCTGGTAGCTATCACCATTTAAAGCATCATCCTCACTTCTCCAGTGCTCTGAGGTGCTCACCAGCTGAGGCTTTTATTGTCACAGCAGTGGTACAATGTCCTTTGAAGTGCTGGACAATGGAAGGCAGCACAGATACATCTGACTCTGCATACCAGCCAGGCTGAGCTACAGTAATGACTCAACAGGAGAAGTCAGCTGAGCCCCTAAGAGCCAGGTCACTGCACCCAGCTCTGTCGGATTCTGCTTTCAGATGAGCACGGAAAGCAGAGAGGTAAGGCTTTCCAGCACCAGGAAACAGGCTGCAAGAAATCCACCTTCCCTGAGCCACCACCACATAGGAGCTATGTAAGCTCTCCAGAGGTCTAGGCCAGTGCATATCTCGTTAACAAAGCAACTGAACAGTATTAGCTGGCTAG